TATTACAAAAATAGCAAAAAATATAAATATATCACGATTTATAAATTTGGCTAAATCCAAAAGTCTGTTGACAAGTGTTTTAATATATAATCACCGGTAAGTTAATGAAATAAGCAGAATAATGGCTTAATTAAGTTAAGTAATATTTTAAGTATAAAATTTAAATTAAAAATAAGCATTTTAAATGTCATTATTTGTTTTGAACAGCATATTGATGAAATAACCTTTTTTGAGATGGCACACCATGAAACTTCAAGTGATGCGAGGGTTGAAATTTATTGTTTCATTAAGGAGGAAGGAAAGTCATTGAGAGAGGTAGAAAAGATTTTTGGATTGAGTGCGGAAGGTATAAGGATGATTGTTAAGCGAATGAGCAAGTAAAAAACGACAGAAAATTCAATTAGATCAGGTCGATCAAGGAAGACAACTTCAAGAGATGATAGGCTGATCGTTATAATATTGGTTGAAATGCCAAAAATGAATTCGATAGAACTTAAAACAAATTAAATTTGGTGGTGGGTTGGTGATGCTGTGGGGTTCTATTTTATGAAACGGTCCTGGTAATATTGAGTTGATCAATGGTAAAATGACCAAAGAAGGTTATCTCAACATTGTAGAGAGAAACGTCTTTGCTTCTGTGACAAAATTAAGGATCGAGGACAATTTTATCTAGCAGGAGGATAATGATCCAAAACATACAGCAAAGATTGTCAAAGATTGGTTCCGCTGATTATGAAATTTTCAAGTTTGATTGGCCTGCTCAATTGCCAGATTTAAATATTATCAAATATATATGGGAATACTTGGATAGAACTATTTCTCAAAACAAAAAAAAGTCAAAAAATGATCGTCAAAAATCATTGGAAAGAAATTGACATTAATTTCATTCAGAAATTTCAATACTAAAGCGCTTGCAAGCAGTTATCGATGCTAAAGGCGGACCAACAAAATATTAAATGGATTGCGTTTGTACCAAAATAACAAAACTATTTTGTTTAAAATTGTGTTCTTGTCACAGTCAACAAACTTTTGAGCAGCACCTTTTTGCATTTTACCTAGTTTTTTAACGTTAATCAACTGCTGTTCAATTTCAAACATTCTTCTTGTTTTCTATTAAACTAAATACTTTCAACCCATAAATATCTTCTCATTCATAAAATAATGCCTAAATATTCACTTTTTTTAAATGTCAACTGACTTGTATATATATATATATATATATATATATACATATATATATATATATATATATATATATATATATATATATTATATATATATATATATATATATATATATATATATATATATATATATATATATATATATATATATAATATATATATATATATATATATATATATATATATATATATATATATATATATATATATATATATATATATATATATATATATATATATATATATATATATATACATATATATATATATATATTGAACAATGTTTTTTGTATTATAATGTACAAAAAAATCTCTTGTTTGTTTTAACAGTGATCACACACACACACACACACACACACACACACACACACACACACACACACACACACACATATATATAAATATATATATATATATATATATATATATATATATATATATATATATGTATGTATATATATATATATATATATGTATATATATATATATATATATATATATACATATATATATATATATATATATATATATATATATATATATATATATATATATATATATATATATATATATATATATATATATATATATATATATATATATTGAACAATGTTTTTTGTATTATAATGTACAAAAAAATCTCTTGTTTGTTTTAACAGTGATCACACACACACACACACACACACCCACACACACACACACACACACACACACACACACACACACACACACACACATATGTAAATATATATATATATATATATATATATATATATATATATTTTTTTTTTTTTTTTTTTTTTTTTTTTTATTTTACTTCACCTCCTCAAGGCCGAGAAGGCCACTAAAGACGAGGAGGCTACTTATTTTGTGGCTATAACCCTCGCTCAACTCTATAACTCCGAAACACGAACCTTGACGAACAAGGCCGCTGCGCAGAGAAACGAGTTGAGCGCGGTACTACCAGGGACGTGGTGGGGATCGAACTCGGAACCACTCGTTTATGAAGCGAGCGCTCTACCACTACCGCATAAATAATATGTATATATATATATATATATAATATATATATATATATATATATTGAACAATGTTTTTTGTATTATAATGTACAAAAAAATCTCTTGTTTGTTTTAACAGTGATCACACACACACACACACACACACACACATATATATATAAATATATATATATATATATATATATATATATATATATATATATATATATATATATATATATATATATATATATATATATATATATATATATATGTATATATATATATATATATATATATAATATATATATATATGTATGTATATATATATATATATATATATACATATATATATGCATATGTATACATATACACTAGTGTGCAAAAGTCTTTGGTCGTACTTAATATTGTAGCAAAAATTTTGAAAAACTTGAATCAGCATAAAGGCATGTTGCCTTTAAAAATTCAGATTTTATCTGAAGAAGTGTGTTTGTGTGATAAGATAATAAAAAGACTGAAAAAGTCAAGAGTAATATACACGTTAACACGATTAAAAACAACAATGATGAACTCAACTAAAAATGCACAGAAAGACTGAAGTGCACAACAAAGATGGAGCATATACATATTGTAGTTATGAGCAAATATAATAGGCAACTTCCAGCCACTATGGTTAAAGAAAAATTGTATAAAGAATGAAAAATTTCAATATCAGTTAAAACGGTCAAGAGACGACTATGTAGAGATAGACTAAATGATTGTATAGCGTTTCGATAACCTTTGTTATGGCATGTTAATAAACAAAAACGGTTTAAATAAGAAAGAGATCATAAATTGTGAACATTAGATCAATTGAAAAAAGTCTTTTAGACTAATGAATAAAGTTTGAATTATTCTGAACTAGAAAGTGTCTATATGTCTGCAATTGTTTGGTAAACATGTTAACTATATTTGCTTAAGTTATTCAATGAAACACGGTGGTGGTAATGTTATAATTTGGTGTGGTTTTAGAGCAGGAAAAGTTGGTGGTTTGGTTCAAGTCAAATCAAAAATGAATAAAAAAGTGTACTATAGTATTTTGATTCATCATGCAAAGCCATCTGGTATTTATAATATTGATAAAGGGTTTGTCTTTCAACAAGACAATGACCCTGAACACATTTCTAAATTATTATGAAATTATTTGAAGACAAAAGAAAAGCAGTGCCTAAAATCATAACTTGGCATCCACAAGCACCTAATATAAATCCTATAAAGAAACTATGGAATGAACTGGAAGGGTAAAATATAAATAAACTAATATAAATAGTTTCTGGGAATGTTTCCATAATACCTGGAAAAACTTTTACTCTCTTGAATGCAAAATCTCTGTAAGGCTGTCATCTGTGCTAAAGGTGGCCATATTGATGAGAGTAAAACCTTGTTAAATTATTAAATTAAAATGTTATTGAGAAATGTATTAGTAATAAAGTGACAAAATAAATGAGAATAATTTGTTTTTTATAGACGATGCACACAATGACCAAGGGCTATTGCACACTAGTGTGTATATATGTATATGTATATATATATATATATATATATATATATATATATATATATATATATATAATATATATATATATATATATATGTATGCATATATATATATATATATATATATATAGACATATATATATATATATATATATATATATATATATATATATATATATATATATATATTTATATATATATATACATGTATATATATATATATATATATATATATATATATATATATATATATATATATATATATATATATATATATATACATACATACATGCATATATATATATATATATATATATATATATATATATATATATATATATATATATATATATATATATATATAAATGTATGTATATATATATATATACATGTGTATATATATTTGTATATAAAACAAATATATGCATATGTACATATGTATATATATATGTAAATTTAAATATATATATATATATATATATATATATATATATATATATATATATATATATATATATATATATATATATATATATATATATATATATATATATATATATATATATATATATATATATATATATATATATTTAAATATATGTATATGAACATTGCTTAATAGAAATTTGTTTTTGTGATGTCATTTGAAAATTACCTCTTTTTTTTTATTAAGTAGCTCTTCAGCATTCTTAAAGTAAAATTATTAGTTTATCATATAAGCAAAGTAATTATTTTTTTGTTGTATGTCTGATATTTCTTTTAGTTTTTTTCTTAGTTTCCCATTTTATGATTTTTGAAATTAAATTGCTAGTTTTAATGAGCACTTTGACGTCATACTGAAATAGTTTGCTGGCGGGGGCTTCAGTACATTTGTTGACTGACAAATAGCCTGACTCGTAGCGAAGTGCTACCTTTACTGAGGGTTTGGGATGGGGCAGTAATCTTTTCTTTTATTATTCTTCGTTTTTTTCTTCTTTATCTAAAAACACTAAAGAATATACTATAGAATATATATGTATATACTACGAATGAAGTGAAGTTATGCAAAATTTTCAAATATAATAATGATTCTTTAAAAAAAATAAAAAATTATGTTAGATTTTAAAAAGTGCACTTTTACAAGAGTTATTTTAGATTTTTTTTTAATGTTTTTTTATAAAATAATTATTACTTATATAAATGATTTTTATTTTTTTAATGTTAATTTATTGTTATTTAAATATGCATTAGTAAGTGTATATACATATATAAATTAATATTACCATAATTTTTTTTTAAGATTCATGGAGCCCAAGTTTACGACTTTATTTACATTACATTTCTTTGTGTATTTTGGCTTTGGTTGTTACTTTGTGCTTAGGAATCATAGTGTGGAAGTCTTTAATGTGAGACTGATATATTGTAACAACAACGATATTTTTTTTTTTTAAATTATATTTTTAAAACTATTTAGTGCTGTATTTACACTTAGTTATAACAAAAATCATAGAAGGGATATAATTTTTTGTGCGCTCAATGGGCGAGATCTTTTTGATTACTAAAGTTATTTAAAATTCGTTAGAGTAAATCTTCTTTATAGTGATCAGGTTTTAAGAAGTAAAATAAATGAAAAATAGTTCAAAACAAAAATAAAATAAAATAGAAAATTTAAAAATTGTCAGCTCTTGTACATATTTTCAAGCATTAATCAAATTCATATAAGTTTAATTAATAAACTTATAAGTTCTAATTTTTGTAAATTTAACCATTCATAGGTTTACATTTGTTGTTTTTATTGGTTTAGAACAATAAAATTCTGTATTAATTTGTTAATTGTCATGCTGTTTTGCAGAGATTTTACAGAATTTTTACAGCCTGAGTTTTCAACATATTGCAATCAGGGTTGTTTTATGATCTTCTTAGGCCCTAGTGTCAAGGGCCTATGAAGAGCTGCTGCATTCATATTCCTAACTGTTAACTCAGTTTAACCCGGAAACAAACACATACTGAAACTTTTTAGGCCTTGTGTAATAAGTTCAGTACCAGAGATAATCCAAAGTTTCTAAGGGTGGTAGCTCTCTCTACAGAAGTTACCAAAGATATGGAAATCCTTTAAGAGGAAAACTGGACAAAACTTGGATCAGGAAACCATAGCAAAATAACTAGAACATAATACTCTTGGTGTGGAAAAATAACATTGCTGGTTTTGTCTCTTATTACAAGAGTAGATTCTTTAGAAACAGAAAAGTTATTAAAATGTAGTGGTTTACTAGTTAAAAGTAAATTGTATTCTGAAGCTATTAAATCAAGCTTGCAAAAAACTGTACATTTGCATCATCATCTCATTAATCTTGTTGCATTAGATATTGATCACAGGAAAACATGTTCATCCAATTTTATCATTGATGGCGTATCCAAATCATCAAATGATGATGATATATCAAGCGTCTCTGAGTTTTTCAAAGCTTTTAATTTAGAATCTATCAAGGTCAACCATGTCAAACGAATCACTTCAACTATGAATAACGTAACTGCTACAGATTCAAACCTAGTTAAGGTAACTCTTGAAAACAAATCAGATTGAGATATTGTACTCAAAAACTTCAGTTACCATAAGCAGCTTTATTCAAAGGGGTTTTTGCCCATTAAGATAGGACTTCAGCTCAACAATAAAAGTTTATTAATTTAAGGGCTAAGTTAAAAGCGTTATGATTAATTGAAGGAAGCCAATATTTTAGATAAGCTGTTTTGGAATGTCATACACAAGCGCACAAAAGTTGTATGTTGCATCAATGTCAGAGAGAATACACTCTGAAACAGAGATACGTATCAGAGTATCACAGAAGTATCAAATCTACCAAAACCATTGAGACTAATCAGACAAGCTCCAACATCTCCTCCTACATATCATTAGCCATCAGCTAGTTCTCCTAATTCAATAAACGATCTACAAATCCTTGTAACATCAATTTAAATCCTCTAGCCACCGCCTTTAGACCAAGTAAAAGTCTAATAATCACAATGCAATTGCTAAATATATACTCACTACCAACACACGTTCCATTAGTCTTAAGGTAGATCACCTCATTTAAATATATTAGGACACAAATGCTCATATTGGATTTCTTACTGAAACGTGACTTACCTCCACCACTCACAACATTGTAATCAGTCGTATCCAAGAATTTACCAAGAACATAATAATGTCCTGTGAGCGCAACTGCTTATCTGAAAAAAGAATACCCAGAAGAGCAGGTGGAGTTATGATAATAGTCAATCCCAACTACACAAATACCATATAGGAGATATCCTCTACACTTGTCATCAGCCAATCTTGGCAAACTACTGAATCCCTAAAGAAACATAATATATTTAAAATATTTATTGCTAGAACTTGCCTATATAGATTACCACATGGATACTCATGTGTCATTATGGCTGCTGTTTATATACCAGAATGGCAACCAAGTTGTCAGAAGAGCTCTGTCTCGCAGCTCTCATACACCCTAGAAGATCCAGTACCCAAATGTTCCAGTAACAATCCACCTCTAATATCCATAGCTGGTGACTTTAATGGAAGTGATGTTAAGCCACTATGCAAGAAGTACCACTTATGGCAAATAAACCATGACCCAACTTATACTAACAAATGCTTGACATTATACTAACAAATGCTAGGTGTTATATTTCCAAAACTCTAAAACCTATGGTTTAATCTGATTCTCCAATTGGTTAAGATTCCAAAGCTAATCTTCTATTAAATATGAATTCCAAAAATGTCAGTGATCACAATGTTGTCATTGCTTCCCCCTCCCCCAATATATGTATAAAAAACTCAAACAAAACCTAAATGCATCCAAATACAATCGGGAAAGATTAAAGATAAAGTTGCTGCCATACAACTACTTTACATTCTTAGTATCCTAGCAAACCTCTGACCCACTTGCATCATTCTTAGTTTTCCAGAATGCTATTATTGATACATAAAATATACATCAGCCTCTATGGACAGTATGTGATAACCTAGAATGGATGACTGCAGATATCCTTCTTTTTACTCTATGTACTAGACATAAATGACTACCTCCTGAAGGGCAGACTATACTCAAGAAATATGCAGATGATATCTTAGCTTACATAACTGGTAATAACTATTCCCTTCCAAAAGAAATGGCAAATTGTCTACAATCATGATGCAATGATAGTAAAATGTTTCTCCACATAGCCAAATGTAAAGTTATTTATATTGGCAGAGATAAAAAGCCAGTCATAAAATTAAAAAGCAAAATTCTTGAAGTTGAAAACTCATACAAATACCTTGGTATCAACCTTTACTTAAGACTTAAACTTAAGTCTCAATTTTGACAAGCAATGGTCTAGTCTACATAAGAAAATTGCCCCTAATGAGTATCTTTGTAAGCAGCTCCAAATATTTGGTGGATGGTCTTAACCTATGCTTTTATCTGCCCATCGCGCTTATTGCCTTAGCTACTTTACTTACAACGCAGTTGTTTTCACCTCAACAACCAATAAAACTAAATCTAGGATGCAAGTCTTTCAAAACCGTCTTCTAAAAGCTGCTGGTATTAACCCATATGATGTAAGCTACTATGGTATCCTTTCTATTGAAGAACATCTTGATTTCGCATGTCTCAGCACATTTAAACAAGTTTTAAACAAACCTAACCATCCAATCACACTTAGTCTACATAAAAAAAATCACTCACATTTCACTTTCAAATTTAATACCAGATCTGCAAAATCAACAATGTATTTAAACACATATCTACAAAAACTTATCTGCCACCTACGTAATGATGCAAATAAACTTGGAGCTAACTCTACCCTTTACATTATCTGAAATCATTCGATAGAAAATTCCAAAATATTGTACTATTAGTTTTTTGTAAACTCAAATCAATATTTATTTTAAGAAAAGATTATACTTACAACCCATTTGATTGCCAGTGATACCTAAAGTCCCATAAAAATAATTAATATTATTGTATAATGTACAGTTAATCTTAATTTATTATTGTATAATGTACAGCTAATCTTAATTTAGTTAATCTTAATTTATACCTTTATTAAAATTCCGCTACATGTTTAGAATAATGACTTATTTAGTCAATGTTTTAAACATTTAAATCAATGTTTAATCAATGTTTACATTACAAAGCCTAAATGTTGATCTAAATCAACCACTGATTTTTGGTCAATAATTGGTTGCTAAACGCTTTATCTATTTTTTGATCAACCTTGACTAAATATTGATCTATTCTAGACGCCTCTGTGTTTACTGGGAAACAGTTGTCTCATTTTAGTGTGTTTTAAGTGCATAGTAACATGCACATAAAATTTTCACTTGTTTGAACACTTAAGCGCTCGCAAAAGTTAATCTTAACAAATAATCTTTTTTGAAAAATACTTCTCGACATCATTATGATTTAATTTCTTAGTTGTATCTCATTTTCTGACTTTTACATGCCCTAGGCTCTATGCCTACTCTGCCTAATAGATAAAATAGCCCTAACTTTAATAAAACATGTATTTAACATTTGTAAGTAATTCATAAATAGTCTTAGTTAGATTGCAATTCCTAATATTATTTAAATATATTAACTTTTACTTAAAATACCCCAGCCTCAGAGCTTTTGGCTTAGTAATGGCTAGAGATATTGTCTCAACAAAAGTATTTGTTTTGCCAGATGTTAACTGATGTAAGCTAAAATTTTAAGGCATATAATTACACAACGTTTCACCAATTTTAAGTGAAATCAGGAATGAATCTTTTTCTATGTGCTTTAATGTAGCACCTCCTCACTTAAACTTTTTTATTTGTTTTCTTTTTTCTCAAGACTGCTCTTTTTGATGTTGCTTCTGATTAAATTGACCTCTTGGTTGATTTTTTTTTTTTTTTGTTATTGTTATTCACCTCCTTAAGGCCGAGAAGGCCACTACAGATGAGGAGACTACTTAATAGTGGTTATAACCCTCTCTCAACTCTATAACTCCGAAATACGAACCTTGACGAACAAGGCCGCTGCGTGGAGAAACAAGTTGAGCATGGTACTACCAGGGACGTGGTGGAGATTGAACTTGGAACCTCTCACTTATGAAGCGAGTGTTTTACCACTACATTTTTTGGGCTACAGATTTTGGGCTCTTTTCCTTTATCTTTATTACAATATTGTTGTTGTTGGTAACTTTGTTCTCCATCATACTAAATGTATGATTCTAGTAGAACTGACCTTGCTGGCTCTAAAGCTCAACATTTTTGTCTTTCTTAATCAGATTCATTTTCTACACAAGCTTAATCACTCAACTTTGCTTCTTTATTTGTGTTTTGTCTGTAACCCTAGCTTGTTCTCAATTAGGTTTGTTTCAAATCAGGGAATGGTTTTATTAAAACTTTGGCATTAGATTCACCTTATCATTGCACTTAATATTACATGAAGACTGAGATTCTTTTCATTATTTTCTTCTAATTTGATAATTGACTTATGTCTTTTGTCATACTGCTGAAAATAGCATGTTTTCAAGGTGTGGATTTGAATACTAGATAACCAGTTGTATTGTCTGACACCAAGGTCCATTATTCTTAAAATACTAAAGAATTTATTTTATCACAGAAACTAGGTTCCATTGTCATATATGGGTAAAATTTTATTTCATATCCTAAAAATAAGGCAAAGAACTATTTTCAAAGAACTTTTTCCTCTAGTTATCTTTTGAATCATTTTTATCTTTCTCTCATTTCAATTTTCTCATTTCACTCTTTCTCTCATTTCAAAGGCACTGTTTAATTCACTGTTAGACATACAAGTCATGCATGCTTCTTTTGCTAAAGCTAATTTTCTCTTAAGCTCATCTGCTGCTTGTGGTTTTGACATCATTCCTGTCATAGTCTTAAAAAGGTTTTCTCCAGAGCTCTCTTAATACTTTCCAAACTATTTAATAACTAATAATCTTATTTTCTTGCCTGCTGGGAAATAGTATCTCTGGTTTTAATTTTTCAAATAGCATCTATGGTTTAAAACTGCTATAACAAAAAGGTTCTATTATGCATTAGATGGTGGTGCCAAGGATAGATACTTGATAAATTCATGTCTTAAACTTAAAATTTCATTTAAATTCTTTAACTGATCATGATATATAATATGATAACATTTCTGACAATGTTTTTCAAAAATGTTTTCCAGAACTTCATTAGTAAATAAACTATTCAACAACTTCTTTTTTCTGCAGGCTGGACACTGTAGTTCCAATTTTTAGAAACTCGGGAGACCACTCTAACACCTTAAACCCAATCAGTTTTAATATTTTTAGTCTTACTATTATTAACAAAGTTTTGAATGTTTTATTAACATACTTCAAATATCTCATCTTTCTGAAAATCAATAATGATTTAGAGCCATTTCATCTACTGTTGGCTGTTATAACAGAATAGTTTTTTGTTTATTATTTAGAAGTGGTAATGCAAGAGCTATTACTCTTGGCATATCTATTGCATTCAATAAAGTTTGGTTTGTATCTTGTGGTGTATCTAAAAAAAATTTAAAATCAATAAATAATTTCTTTCTTATTGCAGTATTAAAGTTGTCCTTGTCTTTGATCTTTTTTAGTTTTAACTTTAGTCTTGCATTGCTGGTCAATTTTAACTCAGACAGAATTCAATTATTTACTGCTAAATATTATCAAAATACTGTTAATATTCCTATATTGATAAATACTTAATTACTTCTGGAATTATAACTACTGAAACCATATATACAAATTATTGAAACTATATATGCAAATTATTGCAAAATTAGCATTTGCAAAGGTTGCCTCTTTTAATGTACTTGCTATTTTTTTTACACATGGTTCCATTTTCTACATCTATTAATTTATTTATCATATTATGGAATACTTTTATCATTTGTGGGCAGGTTCTTCTAATCAAATAAAATAAAAGAATCTTATAAATATCTTGTAAATATTGTTGAATTTGCTCTAGATGCCATGTTTAAGCTTCTGTCCATTCATTTTAAAAATTTTTTTTTCATTTTTACTATTATGGTTAAGAGCTGTAGTTGCTTTTTCCATGAGCAGAAAATCAATCCTGAGAGAAAGGGGGTGGGGGGGGGGGGAGGGAAGAAGTTAACAATTTTGTTAGAGAGACAGGAGGAGGAAGGCTATAAACAGTTTTGTGATGCAATATTTTTTTTTGTAAGTTTTAGATCTAGAAAATCTTTTCTATCAATTAAAAAATTAAAAGTCTAAAATATTAACTCTCAGTTTTAACAAAAAAAATAAATAGCCTCAGTAGAAGGTGATGATTTGTTACAAAGAAGGTGGGGGGTCCAAAAATGTCAAAAATTGCATAGCGTAATTTATGAATGACCCCAAATTGATGACCTGACTTTTTGTAAAATAATTTATCAGAAAATGTCTCTATTTTATATTCCTGTTTAATTTTTTATAAAACTTATCTATTAAAACAGAAAATTATTTTTTTTTTCATAGGGTAGAAAATAACGGTCTTGAACTGTCATGGATGCAGTTTACTATACTCTCAGTGTTGTGGGATCTTCTAGTGATCACTCCTGTTCTAGTAAGTAAAAAAATTAATAATTAAAAGTTCAAATTTTTAAATTAGTTTTTAAATCTTTTTTTTCTCAACTGTTATTATTTTAAATAAAATTTAAGAAATAAGAAAGTTATGAGAAAAATTTGTGACCTTAAATGCTAGAACTATTTATGTACTGCTAAAACTAAATATAATATATAAGTATATTTTAATTTTTTTTTTAATTTTTTTCATTATCTTCGCTTCCAAGAAGGCAGCAAGCAACCACTATTAGAGTTAGAAGTTACTGAAAGAGAAAAAAAGAAGTTTATAGAGCCAGATAATGATTGAAAAATGGCTTAAAAGATTGCAAATTATATGAATCAGGAAAGCATAATGAAAAGCATAAGGAACAGTCAGAAATGATGAGTAACACGAGAATAAATTAATAGAAAGCTCAAGAGACACTAGCTCTTTAGAGCATTACCCATTATAGTATTTGTAGAAAAAAGAAAGAGAAGCAACATAACAATGATGTGATAATGGTTGGAGGTTGGTTGCAAGAGCAGGTTCAACTATGTTTACAATGCATTTTTGCACCTTGTCTAAAAGATAAGCGGCATTATTGGAAGATCCACCCTAGATATGGCAACAGTATTCAATACAAAATGGATTTGAGATTTATAAAGATAAAGAATAGAATCCAGAGTAAAAAAAGTGTTGAGCTTGATAAAGAGAAGCAACCTTTGCAGATGCTAATTTTTCAATAGATTGGATATATGGTTTCCAAGAAAGATTGAAAGTAAGAGTTAATCCCAGAAGGTGACGGGTAGATGACTCATTAAAACTCTTACCATTCATAAATATAGGAAGGTCTAAATTATTGTGGTAACAATTGCCTGAAAAATTGAGTTTTATCTGAATTAAAGTTCATCAGAAAATAAGTTATTAGATTCAAGATGAGAGATTAAGTATTTGTTAATTAAAGATTCAAAAATCTTGCTTATGATAGGAAGAAGACTAATGGGACGATAGTTAGACTAGTAGATTTTTAAAATTCTGGAGATCGCTCTACAGAATTTTTGAAAATAGGGATAACAGATGCAGATTTCCGCCAGGCTGGAAAACAATACTCTGATAAGCATTTGTTAAATAGTTTTAAAAGTATAGACAACATCTCCAGGGAACACTTTTGCAAGACTATAACAGGTATGCTGTTCGAACCCAACTCTCACAATAAGGAAAAAGGAGGTTGGCAATCTCAATCTTTTAGAGGTTGCCTTCAGGTCGGCAAAAATTGTTTGATGCAAAGGTCTGACCATAAAACATAGAAATGAGGTTGGCAATTTTTTTCTGAACTCAAATACTTTTAGGATGGTAGTTAGATTGACATTGCATGACTATCGACCATAATTCTGAGGGTTGCCAAACCACAAGCTGTAGAAGAGTCTAAGCAGGAAATTACTTTAGAGACAGAAGCTAAAGTGATATGAAAATCAAGTTGTGGATCAACCTGTTTGTCCGCTATATCAGTAAGAATACAACTAGTGCAATCAAAAGATGATATTGCTGAAAATTTCTTAGCAAACAAATCAACTTTGTCTTTAGGTGAGGTGACAAAGTCACCTGGTGAGATGACAAAAAATTAGGTGAGGTGGCAAAAGAGGTGGAATAACAGATTTGCCCTTATTATTGATAATGTTAAAGATTCTCCAGAAGTCATGGGAGTCTTTTTTTTGAGATAAAATATGAGATTTCATGACTTGAGAATATCGGACTTTGGTGTTAGACAAAACCTTTTTACGATGGTTTCTAGCAATAGTAAACAGACATCTGTTTACTAGAGAATTGTTTTGCTGATAAATATGAAAGTAATGGTTATGATTGGAAATTAAAGCAACACAATGAGAGAAAAACCATAGAGAAGAGTGAGGCTTGACTTGGAGTTGTTGAGAAGGAATGTAAGAAGTTATGTAAGAAGATGAAAGATTTCTACCCAAGGACCATTATGAAGAAAATCACAGAAATCACATGATTTGTCAGCAAGAAGATGAAAGATTTCTACCCAAGGACCATCATGAAGAAAATCACAGAATAAGTCCCAGTTAGCTTTTAGGTAGTTGTAAGAGGCACAATGATAGGGGAATTCTGATGATGAAGAAGAATGAGATAATAGCTTTAGAGAAGTCAAACCATGATTAGAAGCACCTAAGGGTGAATGTGGAGAAATTGAGCACTGACTAAAATCAGAAACAAGACATAAGTCGAGTAGAGAAGGTAAATGATTCAGGTTGTTTGGAAAGCAAGTTGGAAAGTTGACTATTTCAGTTAGAGATTGAGAAAGGCAAAAGTTGTAAGCCCTAATACCTGCAAAGTCACTGACACTAGAGCCAAACTATTTAGTGTGATGAGCATTAAAGTCACCAACAACAAGGATATTGGCTAAAAGATAAAGAGAGAGGGCTAGGTCAATTTGATCAACATTAACATTGAAAACATTGAAACATAACATAACAATAATAATAGTAACATTGAAAAGAATGCAGTCTTGAGATGAAGGAGAGTGAACAAAGCTGAACTCAAATTAGTCTTACAAAGAGCAAGTAAGACTGTTGAATTTTGCAAGAGATAAGACTCAACAGAAGAAAAGTTACTTCAAAGGTCACACATATTAGTGAATGATAGGTTTAGAGAACTTGAGGATAATGATGGTTTTTTGTGTTTTATAGTTTTTGGTACTTTAGTTATTTTTAAATTTGTTAAAGAACTTGACTCAAAGCATAGTTAGTATTCAGTACACTATCTAATAGACCAAGTAATTGGCTTATTACTATTAATAAACCCTGAGCCGTAACACAGGGCTCCAAATGTGGCCTTGACATTGCACACCAAAAGTATGAACAGGGACACCATCCATGCACAACATGGCACTGTTAGTACTTTGATTTTTTACAGCTGTTGATTGAATCAGCCTTTCTGAGAGTTACCAAGGAGTTCGGGAAACCTAACTACCATCCGGCCTCAGAACCATAAAACTGAGTTTTAGATCTGTACCTCCATCAGGAGATAATAAAATGAATTGCCTAGTGATAAAAACAGAGACACTAGTAAAACCCATTTATTGAGTCAAGAAGATCCAGCATTCAACATCGTAAACTGGAAAAAATTTATTGTAAATACAGCTGGGCCAGCCTAATAAATGAAGAAGGGGTGTGATGCTGGTCAACAGATAGAATCTATTTACCTCTTAAGTCTTAGCCTAGGAGGCCTTCTCCAAGACAGTAGCCAGATGCATTTAACATCTGCCTTTGCCTAAAAATGGATATCCTACAAGGCAGCAGGACATAAAGCAGATTGTACTGGGTTACATGTTACCAGTAACAGGATAACCTGACCTGACTATTTTCTACTGACTAAGTAATATATAAGATAGTTGTTAGATAAATAAAGTTAAAAATTAATACAATTGATAGTGAGTGAGTGTTGTTTCCTTCAATCATAAAACAATATCCTGTCCAATGTACATGCAGGTGGAATTTTATCCCTCTGTTCCTTTAATTATATGAAAAATGTGGCTTTATTTGAATATGAATGCTTTTAGACGTAACAATCAAGCATTTCCCATAAATGTTTTATTGGGTTTAAGTCTGGAGATTGAAATGGCCATCTTAAAACTCTCACATTAATTTAATATTGAAATGGCCATCTTAAAACTCTCACAAAACTTAAATTTTTGCTGAAATATCCAGTTTTGGGGCATTGTTTATTTAGCATATAATAACAAATGATTTTCTACAACGTCCCTATAAATAGAAACATATTTTCTTTGATCTGGATCAATGGACTGACTTCTTGTGTAGAGAAACTTCTCCAAACCATCCTCTATCACGTTAATGTATATCACTTTTTGTGTCAATAAGACCTTGTACATGTGGTTTACCAAACGCTTTAAAAAATAAATTAAACTCTGATTTACTTGAGAAAGTTACTTTTTCTTATCTTTGACTGTCCAATTTAGGTGATATTTGGCTATTGTAGTCTAATTTTTATTTATTTTTATTTTTTATTTTTTTTTTGAAACTTAATTATTTATTTTTTCATTAAAAAAAAGAATACAATGCTGTGTTATATAAATATAATCTACATGACCAAGGCAAAAAGAAGGCAATATTTGCTTTATCACTGTGCCCCGATGTCACAATGTGTGTCTAATGCAGTCTTTGTATCACAGTACTACATCTAACATTAGCTAGATTTTCAAACTTTAACTACCATGCAATATCACTATCTGCTTGATTTGCATTTAAATATTTTAGATATGCTTATTATTATGCTTCCAGAACCTTCTATGAACAAAATATAAACATTCAAGTGTTATTATTAGTAAATTTTTAGTTGAACATCCACTGCTTCAATGTATATTATGAGGCCCAAAAGGTTTGCACATGTAAATTTAACAATTATTATTATAAGTAAATTCACAAATATAAATAAACCGGGGTAAAATGAACTAGTGGTACAGTGATAAATTTTTTATATTAAAAATTATCACGTTTAAAAACGTTTGGTTTAGTAACTTAGCATTATTTTTTGCTTAATACAACATTTTAAAATTTTTCAAAAAAATTAAATTTAAAATATAGCTTTTGTTTTGATAAACTTTCCGCAAAACTCGTTTTTTAAAGCCATTTTAAAAAACGAGTTTTGCGGAAGTTTTAAAATTACATTACCAAACATCAGTTATATTATTTATATTCATTTTGAAGATAATACAATGCTGCTTTACAAAAATTGTAGTTTTTATCATGATATAAAACAGCTAATTTGTAGTTTGTAAATCAATTTAGTTCACTTTACCCCTTATTTTTCTGTCAAATCAGGTTAAAGTGAACTAGTCTTTTTGTTATGTTTTTTCATCAAACACAAATTTTTTGTGGTGACTACAACCCAGGTGATCAAGTTTTTATTTCAAAAACATTCAACTTAATAAAATAGGGTCTATGTCTTAGTAAAATAGTTTATTGCTGAAATCATTTATAACTAACCAGAGTCATTGATATTTTTTTATAAAAAATCTCTGATCTGTATTTTTTTATTATAACTTTATAACTTTAGAAGAACTGTTTTCCACTTATTAGTGTAATCTATGGCAGATTCTGTGTCATTTTCTAAAGCTTTCCAATTAGACTGCTTGTGTGGTAGTAGACATGTGGTACAATAATTGGCTCACAACAAAGATGTGGTTTTTTTTAAGGTTCTACACTACACCTCTGGAAGTACCTCGACTAACTTGTTTCTCTGTGCATCAGCTATTTTATTTAACAATGTTAATGTATAAGATAAATGCAAGAAATAAAAGCTGCAATATAATGTTATCAAACAATGAAAACTTATGTACTCATAAAGCAACTTCAATAAGGAACTTTTGAAACTTACTTTAAAAATACATCTTTACATAAATTAGAGAGGTAAACTGCTGTTGACAAAAATCTTCAAGTTTCTTCTAGAAGTATAATGTTTTTGATTTAAGAGTTGCATTATAATTATTCTCAGCCAAAATAGTGAATAAGGCAGCACTGTACACATCTTTCTTTCTTAATATATTATTTATTAGGGTAAAGATGTCATATGTCAGGTTATCCTGCTACTGGTAACATGTAACCCAGTACAATCTGCTTCATGTCCTGCTGCCTTGTAGGATATGCTATTTTAGACAAAAACTAGGAGATGCCAACTCCAACTTAAAACACCCCCTGCCTAAAGGCCTTTGGGGGGGATTTTATAAAAATACTCATCTTGGGCAGATGTTAAATGCATCTGGCTACTGTCTTGTAGAAGGCCTCATAGGCAAAGACTTAAAGAGTAAACAGATTCAATTTGTTAACCAGCCTTGCACCCCTTTTACATCTATTTATGAATGTTTCTCCACATTCACCCTTAAATGCTTCTGATTGATCTCTTTCATTGATTTCAGTTTGATCTCTCTAAAACTATTATCTCATTCTTCTCAATCATCTGAATCCCCCTATCATCGTACCTCTTACAAGTTCCTTAAAACTGACTGGGACTCTTTGCGTGATTTTTTTCCTGATGGCCCTTGGGTAAAAATCTTTCGCCTTCCTGTTGAAAAATGTGCTTCTTACATAATTTCTTAGATTCAGGCTGGCATGAAATCTTTTATTCCCTCTCGATGATTCCAGGTCAAGCCTCACTCTTCTCCATGGTTTTCCTCACATTGTTCTGCTGCAATTGTCTATCGAAATTGTTACTTCCATTCTCTGGTCATGAAGTCTCGTATTTCAATACAAAAATTAGGCTCTTGTGACTAGACTTGCGTTCTTCTGGAGAATCTTTAATAGTATCAATAATAAGAGCAAATCTTAAATTCTACCTCTCTTGTATGGTTCAGACTTTGTCACCTTATCTAAAGACAAAGCTGAATTGTTTGCTAAGACCTTTTCATCAATATCATCTCTTGATTCCACTAGTTGCATTCTACCTGATATAGTAATCAAACAGGTTGATCCATTGCTTGACATTTGTATCACTCCATCTTCTGTATCTAAAGTGATTTCCTGCTTAGACTCTTCTACAGCTTGTGGCCCTTAGGGGTTCTTTAAGGTTTAATCCTTGGCTCTATATTTTTAATTTAATTTACATTAACGATCTTCCAGATATTTTCACATCTAAGGTGGCATTATTTGCTGATGATACTACCATTATTTTTTTCATGGTAAGAAGCCAATACTCTTTGATTGCTTGGATGGGGCATTTGAGAGTAGAAAGGTTCTCACTTCTGCTACAGTGTGGGACTCACAGTGGCTGGTGAACTTTAATTCAGATAAAACTTTTTTTCAGCCAATCGTTATCTCAATAGTTTAGACCTTCCTATAATTATGAACGGTAATGCACTCGATGAGTCATCTACCCTTCATCTTCTAGGATTAATTCTTACTTCCAATCTTTCTTGGAAACCATATATCAAATCCGTTGCGAAATTAGCATCTGCTAAGGTTGCATCTCTTTATCATGCTCTCCACTTTCTTACTCCACATTGTATTTTCTGTAAATCTCAAATCTGTCCTTGTATGGAATACTATTCTCATATCTGGGGCAGATCTTATAATTCTTTCTCTTTTAGACATGGTGCAAAAATGCATTGTAAACATAGTTGGACCTGCTCTTGCAGCCAAACTTCAACCATTATCACATTGTCGTAATGTTGCTTTTCTTTCTCTTTTCTACAAATACTATAATGGGCACTCGCCATTCAATTAAGTCTCATCCTTTTTCTGTGACTGTTCCTAAGTGCTCCAAAAACTGTTATTCCTCTAATTTTTTTCCTCAAACATTAGTTCTTTGGAATTCGTTTCCTTCAACTTGCTTTCAAGATTCATATAACTCGCAATCTTTTAAGTTGTTTGTTAATCGTTATCTTGCTCTACAGTCTTCATTTTTTCTCTTCCAGTAACTTCCGAATCTATTTAGTGGTTGCTTGCAGCCTTGTTGAAAGCGATGATTTAAAAAAAAAAAAAATAATCAAAACTATTTTATTAATAACAGTATTATTAAAACATTTTTTATCAAAGTTTTTACAAAGTAAATAACATATTTTTATCTTTTACACCTTTTTTTTTTTTAAAGTTATTGAATTTTAATAAACTGCTGAAATTATAGTTGTGTACGATGAAATGCAAAAAGCTGCAAAATATAGCAATCAGTTCTGGTAAACTTTTGCTGCTGTTCTACAGAGCAAGTTGCAAATTGTGTGACAAGCAATATTTGTTTACCTGCATGTTTATTCATCACACTTGTTCTGTCAATAGTTATTCCAATCATAATTTGTGAAACTTCAAAGAATAGTTGATCATCATTACTTGGTGTATCAAAATTTTATTCAATTTCAATTTTCATGATATTTTTTTTCTAACTAAATGATGAACTTATGTTATTATAGGTCCTCTGTTTTTTCATACTAACACCTTTTATATATAGTGTTCGTTGTTTGTGTTCATTTTTTCTTTTGACTATACCAACCTGAATTTACAATTTATTTTCATTTTTTTAAATAAATGATTAATAAAAAGAATGATAATTTTTAAACAATTAAAATAATTTATTACCATATTTCTAATAAAACATTGATAACAAAAATATTTATAAAATTCAATTTATTTTATGATCATAAATTTCTTTCTTTATAAATAGATTCATAAATATATTCTGTATATATAGATTTATATATGTAAGTCTTTTTTGAGTTTCAATAGATAGAATGAGTTACTCACTGCAGTTTTTTTATAAAATTAGTTCTTGCACTGGTCAAAAAATCTCCATACTAAAACAGGGTAGTTAAATTGTACCTTAGTATCAAACTTTTAGTAACTTTTAAGTTTTAAGTCTTAAGTTTTTTCTGGTTTAGGCAACCATACATAGTGATTTAGCTTGATGATCTTCCAATTAACTTGAACAAAAAGAAGGTCCCAGATGGTGCTGTGTTTCTTTTTATGGCCTCATAAAATGTTATTATTTTTATTATGGCTTCATAAACTAATATAAAGAGTAAAAGAGTAAAACCAGACATAATTTTTATTCTTTTGCTTTAGTAACATAACATAAGCTGATAATAAAAAATTTGATTTTTTGAATATTTAAAGTTTTCATTTTTAAATAGTATATACTTTTGCACATAAAAACGTATTTGACACAGAAACTCAAAATTTAATTTTATTGGTAACACCTGTAAACAAAATTTTAGGAATATGCTAAATTCCTTCCTGATGTAATAACTCAAAAAAAGGCTGGACTTAAAAAGAATTGAGTTTGGCAAAGTTTTGTCTTTTTCTTAAGTGTTATATATTTTATGTAACACTTAAGAAATTTATTTTACATTAAGTTTCATCAAATTCAGAAAAATTCAAATAATGTCATTATTTTTAACATAATAATCATTAGAATTTCTGATGTTTTGTGGAAGTAATTCTAAATTCAATATATCAATGGATATATCAATTATTAAAAATACTTGAAAAATTTTAAAAGGTATCTACAGTAAAATGCACTTTATTGATAAGGTGAAGCTTTTTGAAATTTAAATTAGGTGAATAGATACTAATAGTATTTTGTGTTAAGCAAAAAAGTCACAATTTTTTAACAAGATATAAAAGTGTATCACTTTTATATCTTGTATGTATCATGACATCAATGTTCACTATTACCACAGATTTTTTTGTTATGCTGTCCATAACGTTGTCATTATCTTTTCTTTGTAAATATTATTTGACAATGCTTTTTCTGCTTGAAGGCAGAACATTCATAATATATATATATATATATATATATATATATATATATATATATATATATATATATATATATATATATATATATATATATATATATATATATATATATATATATATATATATATATATATATATATACATATAAATATATATATATATATATATATATATATATATATATATATATATATATATATATATATATATATATATATATATATATATATATATATATATATATATATATATATTTGTGTATGTGTTATATGTATGTATATATATTTTACAAATTATATATGTGTATATTTACATTTTAGAGTTCGATAAAATCTCTTGTTGTATCATCATCAAATTTAAAGAACTACTATGAAGAACTATTTAACTCCAGCCATTATTCAGAAAATACAAAAAACTTTCAACCCTTTGATGTTAGTATGTTCAAGAATAATTTAAAATTTAAAATATATAATTAGATGTTTTCTTTTTTAAATTAATTTTGTATTTAAGTTAAATATTTATTCCATTTTATTTTGTATTTGTGTTACAAGAAAATAATACAGGATTTATTTATAGTTGCTATCTGTAAGGCATCGTGCACGTTTTTTACGATACGCTGCACCTGAAAAATCAAATAAGATGAAGCTTTTAACTTTCAAAAGAGTCAAAGAAAAAGTTATGAAAAGTTATCTGAGGTTCAAGTTTTTGTTTTGTTCATTTTTGAAAAAATTATTTATTTATAAAGTTTGTGGTTTTACGTTAGTTTTTAGTCTTAAAAATAATTTTATTATATATCATAACTAATAATACTAATTATTACATCAGGAAGGTTACTGAATCCATCGTTCTTTTATTTGTGGTTACTGCTATAGCTACTTCCAATGATGTCAAACAATCCTATAATGCCAATCAAAACATTCGGTATTTTGTTTAAATTTTTCTCAATTATAAAAATAGAAGCAGTGTCTAGCATAATTATCTAATGTATATGATATGATTTGTTGTTAGTGAGTTTAGTGACATAAATCATTAGAACAGTTCATTATTAGAATTAAAAAATGAGTTGTGGACGCTTTTGCCTGAATAAAAAAGTTTTGGCGAGAATCTTGATTGTGATCTTTCTCGTGTGACAGTTTGGAAGGGGAGAGGGGCTCACAGTTATTTGCTCATGGATTTTAACTTACAAAAAAGATTTTAAAACTTAGATTATAAATAAGCTGTAAGTTTTATGTTATTCCTATCTTTACGAGGCAAATAAAAATTTTTGTTTTTATTCCAATATTTACTTAGTTTCACATCATACTTTGTTCAATCAAAAGAATATAAGAAAAAAGTTAACAAAATTATAAATACTTGAACAAAAGAGTTATGATTATAAAATTGTATTTTTTGCAATCTGTAAAATTCAAAAACCTTACTACTACTGTTGACTTGGTAACACTAATAATAAAAAGGTTTTATTTTTAATAACATAACAAATTATTTTATCAGATTAAATACTTTTAAAATGTTGTGTAACGCAACTAGAACTATTTATTTTTAAATGAGGAGGAAAAAAAGATTGGACCCTAAACTGAGTTATTATACATCTGGTAATACTATTGTAAACTACATTGATGATGCACTTTTTGTAAATAAAACCTTGACTAATAAACATTAACTTAAAAAAAATGTTTTTCCTAGTTTTTTACAAAAACATCAAAAGAAAGTGCTAAAAACCAATATAGCAAGATGAATCTTAAAATGTTTAGCCAATTTTTTTTTTAAATGTTTTTTTTTTTTTTATGAAAAAAAAATGCAAACTTCATATAAAATTGCAATTAAGTGCAATAGTCATTTTTCTAAATTTACTGCAATAATCATTTTTCTAAATTTACTGCTAGAAATTTAACATATTGTCATTAAAACTAGAAATTATTGTAGATGGTTATAGGTAATTGATACTCATATATTTGAGTAAAGAAAAAAGAACTGCTGGATAATTTGTAGACCTTAAATACTCAGTAAATCAGTCACCACTGGAAACTATGCAAAGCTAACATTTGTAAAAAGTGGAATAATTTATGATGGTATAACATCTTTTTATCATAAATACTTCTAGTCTTCACTTTCATTTTATAGTTAAATTATAATTAAAATTATAGTTTAAATGAAAACTTGTAAAAACAAAAATCAGAACAGTCTTGGGATACTGAAATCCTTTCCTGAGTAAATTGTTGATAATTTCTAAAATCTTTAAAATTTTTAGGTGTTTAAACACATTATTTGTAACTATTTTTCTTGTCAAACTTCACTTCATATAGTTTTTTGAACTTCATTTGATCACTATTTTTATTTTTTAGTATTTCAAAGATTCCAAATTGAATTTTTAAATATTTTTTTAAAAATATTTTTCTTTAAAATTAACATTATACTTGTATTTGCAATTATTGGTATATGAGTTTTTTTTTAAAAAGTATATATTATACATTTTTTTTTCAGAAAATATATAGTTTTATAAGTAAATATCTTCTTTCACTATTCTATTATTTTATACATGTGTTGACTTTTACTGTTTACAAACATTAAATTATGTAACTTTAAATTAATCTGCAAAAAAGTAAAGTTCTTCTTGCTCTGACTTTCTCAATTTTTTTTTTCTTTTGAGAAATATTTTAAACAATTGGAACATCTCTACTGTTAATGATTTGTGGAATTGGTCACTTAAGTGTTTATTGCCTGTTCTAAATAATGTTGAAAGTCTCCAAGACAATAAGGTATGGAAATTCATTATTTATGTATATATTTATGTTTGTATTGTATGTGCATACATTTATGTTAGGGTACATTATACTTTTCAATAAAATTTTCGATTTTCAATTTGGTGGATCAAAATAAATTAGGGGGAAAAAAGTTGAAAAAACTAATTTTTACCTATGCAAATGATTGCACTGTTTAAGAAGATAAAATTTTTGATTTACGTATAAACACAAGGGGGTTTATACATTTATATAACTGAAATCTCAAACTGTATAAAGTTCTTTTTATGTGTTACCTTATTTTATATAACATTTTTTTTTATTTTGAAAAAGTTTTTATTTACTTTTAACCGGACAATGGGCTTAATATAAAGTGTTACAATACGACAGAAAAATATAACATAATTGTCATACTTTCATTGTTTGAATGACATCTTTTAATGTTCAGACAAAATAACTATAAATAAAAATATATTTTTTGATAATGATGTCATAATTATAGATTTTGAGTGAAGTTTAAATTAGTTTTTTAATAATGATGTCATAATGATAGATTTTGAGTGAAGTTTAAATTAGTTTTTTAATAATGATGTCATAATGATAGATTTTGAGTGAAGTTTAAATTAGTTTTAGTTAAGTGTTAGTAATTATGGCTTAATGAGTTTTTTATGGTTTGTAAACTATATAAAAAGGGTTTACATTTTTATTTGTAAATATATTGAAGTTTAAAGATAATAGATAAATAATAATAAAGATAACAAATCAACTATGACTGCTTTAAAAAACACAAGACTATGTTTCTATGGTAACAAATTTATCAAAATATCAAAGACGTTAACAGATTATCTCAAGACATTCAAACTTATTATGAAATAAAATATACATCAAAACAGCTTCTTGATTTTTTTAAAAATGATGCATAATTTTTTTATATTAGTTATTTTTGTTTATTGAGGGAATATATCAAGAGACCTCTCTTGATTACTAGCTGACCTTGTTCTTCAACAATGAATGAAAGTGAATGCTCTTTTAAAACCCCTAGTGCTTGTTAAAAAGAAAACTTTGATGGAGAAAATTAAATTTTTAAACACAATCAGAAATATAATGTATTAAAATCTTCTAAGATTTCTTCTTGGGAATCAAAACTGGATTAGTTATTAGGAATCACAAGTTGCAAGTGTGAAGTTGTATTGTGTAACAAGCATTGTTTGAAAAATTATTATTGTGGTGATAAAGCACATATTGAGTGTACTTGTATTGAAGAGTAAAAAATCCTACGATTGAACCATTGCCCAGAGTGAAAAAAAGGATCTATTTCAAAGTACCAGATGAGTTTAAATAATACTAAAAAGATCGCCAGGCAGATATTGCTGGAGGAAAAGGAAATGAAGAGGAAATCTTGAGAAAAATAAACTAGAATAAGAAAATAATTTACAAACATGTATATAATGAAAATGCTGTTGAATGTTTCTCTGAGGATAATTAAATTTCAATAAAGAAAAAATTTTGGAAGTTTCATATACATTGTCAATTAGTCATACTGGAGAAGTTTCAATAAGATTTAATTTAGCCGTTGATCCTATAAAAGTAAGAAGGGTAAGTAATGTAATAATGGAAATAAAAAGAATGTCTGAAGAAAGAATAATTGATGAAGAACCTATTAAGTATTTGTTTATTTATGAAAGAAAGACTCAACTTTAATTTAGAAACAAATCTCTCTAAAAAATAAATTTCACCTGAGAATTATTAAGGAAGAACATTATTAAGGAAGAACACAAGAAAGACTCAACTTTAATTTAGAAACAAATCTCTCTAAAAAATAAATTTCACCTGAGAATTATTAAGGAAGAACATTATTAAGGAAGAACACAAGACTTGTGAGTCTGATGGAAGAAACTTTACTGATTACACTCTTGCTAAAGCCAACCACAAACTCACCAAGCAAACCAGCCAACAAAGCAACATTTGCTTTTTACAATTGGATGTTTCAAGGAGAATCTCTGAGTCCATAGAAGTTGTAGGAGGGAATTCTACAAACTCTTTAACAGGCTCAGAAAAAGATGGAGGTTTGCTATTAAGTTCCAAACAATTAATTAAAAGTAAATCATTCCAATCTATTTTTATGCTGCACTGTAATGAATTACCATTGAGGCATATAATTATTGAACTGGATGGTCCAACAAATTTAAAAAATGGTTTTACTGACCCTATTGGTAAGGTTCTATCTAAAGTTGCTGACTTAAAAAAGACCTAATGACATAGAAAGAACCTATTGAACAGCTGTACCTTTTATTGAAGTTACCAAAAAATTAGTTACTGAAGCAGCAGTTAACACTTATGGTTTGAAAAGAGAAGCAAGAATGAATAATATGAAAACTTTACTTGGGCTTAATTCGAAAAAAAGTTTTCAGTTGTCTTTTGATAAAAAAGTTATATGCAAAAAATAATTAAAGATAAATACATTTCAAATAACAAATTGATTTTTTTATAAAGTATATATTTTCTCCATTACATTGCGCTCTACATAAGACAGATTATATATTTTGATTTGTTATTTGTGTTCATCTATTTGTTGATCTATTTAGAAAACTGCTCAAATAAAAGCCACTGATAGTATTAAACTTTTATGTCTAAATTAACAGTGATTTGCTTTTTTTATGATTTTAAGCTCAAAAAAAAAAAAAAAAGCAAAGAAAACTACCAAATCATAGAACATTAAGTAAAACTATCTATTTTTCAAAAAAAATTATTTATGTTTCATATGTAAGGTAATATATAAAATCAACTTTACATAATTCTAGAATTCAACAATTTAAAAAGAATTAGCCCCCTTGTGTTTATGCTTAAATCAACAATTTTATCTTCTCAAAAAGTGCAATCCCGCATAGGTAAAAAAATTATTTTCAATTTTTTTTCTTCAGTTATTATTCACTTATAGTAGCACCATAAAAATGATCTGCCGAATTAAAAATTGAAAATTGAAATATGATAGTATGATGTACCCTTATGTATGTTTATGTGCATACATTGATAAATTCTTGTATTTTTAATTCAAGTGTTTGATGCTCGCATCCCTTATTGGAGTAGCTAAGTTTTCTAACAAAAATTCTTCATATACTGGTCAAAGGTATTTATAAAATTTAAAAAACGTTTTTTCAAAGAAGTTTCATCATATAACTGAGTGTATGGCATAAGTAGTAATGATTAATCTAGTTAAGAATATCTTTTCCCTCCTTTTATTTAAATTGTATATGATCTAATAATTTAATACATTTTAAAAACCAGAAAATTTTTCAGTAGTTGATTAATTTATTTTGGCTGCTCCTTATATTTGTTTTATTGGTTATATAAAATATAAAATATATAAATATAAGGTATAAAAAAACCTAAAAAGTTTCTTTTTTAAGATCAAGCATATTCTTTGAAAGAATTTGCAAGATCTTAATAGAGACCATTAATAATAGGGAGACAAATAATTCAAATAAAGTTGTCTAAACTAGTTTTCTGATAATTCTTTTAATAATATATATTTTAATAGTTTATTTGTTTCAAAAAGAACATTGTGAGAGCCAATATATCTTATAATATATATAGTCATTTTTACTACTTTTTATTTTATTACTGCCATTATCAATTTAAAAAAATTAAAATTAATTTATGTATCTTAACATAATTTTTGTAAAATAAACAGGCTTGTACCCTAAAATTTTTTAAGAAGGTTTTTTGATTCCCAAGAGTTTTTAATTTTAAAACTTCCTGAATCAAGTCTACTGTTTATCTGATCTTACTGCTTATGTCACTTAATCTGATCTTACTGCTTATGTCTGAGTTGCATAAGATTGTTAAAATCTGATTGTAAATTCTGATTATTTCAACTCTATACTTTAAAATTTAAAAATAAGTTACTTAACGTTACTTAACATTCTTAACGTTGAGATTTTTGTTTATTAAAAACTTTAAAAAGCTTAATCTTTTATAATTGTATAAAAGCTTTTAGTTTACATTTTTTGCTTCAATTTAAAGTTTTACTTTTTAAAATTATAAGTTTAAATTTTGAATTTTAGAACTAATGAATTTATAGAAAAAAAAATTATATAGTTAAAATACAAACTTTTTATTATTATTATTTTTTGAATTTACCTTTCCAAGGCTACAAAGGCTACTACAGTCAAGGAGACTTTTAGTTGTGATTACAACCCTCTCTCAACTTAAACTTAAAACTTAAACTATTAAAACAAGAAAATAACAAATATTTGATATAATAAAAAATTTTTCCTGGAAAATACTAATGTGGCAGCAAGCGCAACTTTTTTCTCATTTTTTCAAGTATTGTTTGTTTTACTCTCACTGTATTTTTGTTTGACTTTTTTTTTTTTATTGTTGTTGTAGGCATCAAATATTATCAATGCTAAACAGTTTACAGAGCAATGGATTCTTTAATTCGTCTACCTTTATATCAATCAGTTTTAATTTGCAAAGTAACTTATCAGACTGTTTTGTATTTAGCATGGTTGAAATTCAGTTCATAAAGCTTCCAAATAAAAATTTTTTACGCAAGTTAAATGTGGAAAGTTTTACTTTTAAATCAGCGTTAGAATCATCATTAATTCATTTTGTTGCACTGGTAAAAACGTTTATAAATATGTGTGTATTATATGATTGCATGTATTATCACATGATTGTGTGTGTTATCAAATGATTGCATATCATATCACATTGCATGTATTTTAATAAATAATAATCACATAAAATTAATTATTATTAATTTTGTTTTGTAAAAGAGACGACAAGAAAAGTTTTTTTTTTTTTCAACAGTTTACTTCACAAATTTTTTTATTGTTCGTTGGTTTAAAACAAAAATATTGACTGATATATAAGTTAATATAAATTTTATCTTACAAATATAAAAGGTAAGAAGAAACATTTATTTGCTAAAAAAAGCTAAGAAACACCATTTAATTGCTAAAAAGAAGCTTAGAAATTTATTTAGTAAAAAAAAAATTCAATTAAAATTGTTATGTTTCTTTAAAGGGTTTTTAGGGTTTTGATAAGCAGATAATAGCTATAAATTTTGAAAAAAGTAGAGAAATTAGCCAAAGCATGTATATAATGATATTACAAAGCATGTATATAATGATATTACTAATAAAATTAACCAATTAATCAATTAGAATTTATTTTAAAGCATTTTTTTAATACAGCATTTTTTTTTTTTGTAAAGTTTTTTTATACTTTTGTTTTAACTTATATTGTTAAGGGTTCTCAACATTCCATTAGCCTTGTTCATAATTAATTGCATGCAAGTAATTGCATATGTTTACATTTGTAATTATTTGCATGATCTTGACATTTTCCTTTATATCTAAAAGCATACATTGCTCACTATGATCTACCATATGAAAGAAATTACATTCATAAACATTAGTTTTGTTACAACATTTGTTTTGGTTTGCAAAAGCTTCATCTACAAAAGTTGCTTTATCCTATACAAATTTTTTCTGCAAACTTATCAACATTATATTAATATACTTCAGTTTTTAGTTATCTATTTTTAAAAGTTTGTATGTAAAGTTCTAAAGGATAAATAAATTGTTAAAAAAAATGTTTCATGATACAGCCTATTTTCATAGAAAAATATCTTAAACATTGTGTAAAAAGTATGTTGCATTTGTGAAAAAACATCTAAAACATTGTGTAAAAATTATGTTG